GGGGGCGGGAGGACACTTCCTGGACGGTGCCGGCACCGGAGGCCGGCGTCCGGGGCTCCCGACTGGAGGAGGGCCCGGGGACTTGGCGGCTTCTGTCAGGTAACCGCGGTGTCGACGTGGCGGGGCTCTTGGTGCTGTCCCGACCCCTGGTGGGGAGGAGTGGTGTCCGGCCCTGCGGACCCTCCCTCTGAGTTCGGCTCTCTTCTGCGCCAGGATTACTTCGGTCCTTCTCTCTCGACGAGGTAATTCTCCATCTTGGACCTGCCTGTTAATGAAGTAACTCAAGTAGCTAGGCCCAGAGGGACGTTTTCTTTAACTTGGGGCCTGGTATGAATTTACGGAACTCTTTGACCGTGAAAGACTACCAAAAATAGCAGAGTTGAAATTCTGAAACTCAGTGTCACCTCACTGTTGAGTCCTACCTTTGGGTGTGGCCTTTTTCATTTCCCCCCACAACAAATGCGTATTTGCTTCAAGTGGCGAGCTCGTCAACCGACATCTGGGAGCACGTAAGACATCTGAGAAGTTTTTAGACGTGCGTGTTAACTTTTACTCCCTCCTTCGTCCTGATTCCATTTTAAATGATTAAGTGTGTAATAAACAGTAATGCAGTTTAGTCACAGTGTATTTAGGGGTAAAATCATGATGAAGAAAGCCAAACTCAAACCTAAGCCCAGAATATAAAACTGAATCCACTTTGTGGGAAACTTAAGATTCCGTGCCAGCCGGCCTTTGGATCCTGAAACGGTGCCTTTGGTAATGATGAGAGGACGTAACATGTGATTTTAACTTGGTGATAATCTAAGAAGAACTCTTCCCCCTCCCCCCCAAAAAAGTACAATTTTCCGGCAACCCTGGAGGACATCTTGCCTTCTAATAGTGTGAGAATCAGGCTGGCTTTTCATTCTTCAAAGAGTATAAGTGCTGGTGTGCCGCTGCTGTTTTTGCTTCACAGGTCTGTTAAGAAGCAGGTAAGCAGAAGCAGAGTTTCTTAAAACGCACAGGATTGCGCAAGTCAAGCTCAATAGTTTTTACTCTGTTTAATTCCATTACAATTTAGACTTTCTGGATGCAGCTTATCTGCTTAGTTGTTACTTGCAATGGACTTTTAGGACAGGCTGTCCTCTATTCACTGCCTTCTCAGCTGGTAGCAGACTGAAATCTGATGTACTGGCTGTTTCGCTGTAAGGTTGAAGGGCAGAAATTGCAGCACTGGGACTGAGTGGGCTTTTGGTTTCCTGTCATAGTGGAACCTAGATTATTTTGTATACTTGTACAAAAAGCTGGTAAGTACTAACCAAACTTACAGCTACAGAGATAATGCAATTTATGCAGTGTTTTCCTGATACATTATTTTGTATCATCCTTGTGAGTCTTGTGAAGTAAATTCTATTAATAGTCCCATTTTACAGATTATCAAGATACAGGAACTTAAGAAAAGAATGCAAAGGTACAGAGATAATAGTGAAGAAAGAACTCAACTGCTGACTCCAAAACTGAAAATCCTTAACTGCCCCATGCAGTTTCACAATCTAAGATAAAATTGTGAAAGCATGTAACACCAAGATATCTAGTAGGCTGTTCCCAAGGTCCACATTCAGGCAGGTAAACTGTGCACGAAGAATTGTCAATCACACAAAACATTTATGTGAAAATATGTGTATTAGCACTTTTTTTTTTTTTTGAGTCGGTATCTTACTCTGTCCCCAGACTGGAGTGCAGTGGCACACTCACAGTCACCACAGCCTCAACCTGCTGGACTCAGGTGATCCTTCCACCTCAGCCTTCTAAATAGCTGGAACTACAGGCACACGCTACCACACCCAGCTTATTTTTTGACTTATTGTAGAGATAAGATCTTACCAAGTTGCCCAGGCTGGTCTGGAATTCCTGAGTTCTGGTAATCCTCTCATCTCAGCCTCCCAAAGTGCTGGGATTACAGACTTCAGCCACTGTTCCCGGCCCATTAGCATATTTATTAAAAGATAGATTAATTTATTTTCAGGTAGTTTTAAAATTAGGTTATTATGTTCTGGGGGTTTTTTGCTTATTACTATCATACTGTCTACTCTTCGTTAACATAAAAATGTGCATAAGGAGGATAGACTTTGACAGAAAAGCAAAAGGAAGTGTTGAGAATTGGACTATCCAAAAAGATATGACATAATGTAATTTCTGTGCACAGACCATTCCCTCTTTTTATTGAGTAACAGATTTCTTAAGACATGTTTGGCTTTGTCAATGAGAAATTGTAAGACAGACAACACTTTTACTGACTCTGCTTCCTTTTGGTGCCTATTCAGATTCTCGGGTCCTCATTTTTTGTAGTTCTGCTCTGCAGCCATCTTCCCTGTTTGTTCACTGACTCACCTTTTTCATCCATCAGTTTATGAACATTTATTCTGAGTTTACATAATATGTGTTTTTCTGAGTAGGTATAGACAAAGACTTAATATCAGAGTCGTGATTCTATTTAAAATATTGTCTGTGTTCCTGTGAGGATCTCAGGAACATAAGAATGTTATCTCAGTGGCTCAAGCCTATAATCCCAGCACTTTGGGATGCCAAGGCGAGAGGATTGCCTGAGACCAAAGACCCAGAGGTTTAAGACCAGCCTGGGCAACTTGGTGAGACCTCGTCTCAATAATAAATCAAAAAAGTAGCTGGGTGTGGTGGCACGTGCCTATAGTTCCAGCTACTTGGAAGGCTGAAGTGGAAGGATCACCTGAGCTCAGCAGGTCGAGGCTGCAGTGGCCGTGAACATGCCACTGTACTCCAAACTGGGCAACAGAGTGAGACTCCAACTAAAAAAAAAAAAAATAAAGAATGTTATCAGTCAGAGAAGCATTTAAGTATTTTTCTTTTTTTTTTTTCCTTTTTTTAAGAGTTGAGGTCTTACTCTGTCTCTCAGGAGAAGTGCGGTGGCGCAATCATAGCTCACCCTCAAACTGGGCTCAAGCAATCCTCCTACCTCAGCCTCCCAAATGATTAATCCTGCACACTTGTACCACGCCCAACTGATTTTTAAAAATTTTTTGTAGGGACAGTGTCTTGCTATGTTGCCCAGACTATTCTTAAACTCCTGGCCTCAAGGGATCCTCCTGCTTGGGCCTCCATGCCCAGCCTATTTTTCCTTTTTAAAGTAATACTTTTAAAAATCAGTAATTATACCATTCTACTTGCTTCTGACTTCTCTATTGAAATTTGAAGTGTAGATACACATAAATTGTTGATTTTAGATGAGTTCTTGAACTCTATCCTCCCCTCCCCTTCCCCCTCTCCCCCTCTCGCTCCCAGTACTCACTCTCGCTCATTTACTTTTTAAATAAACTATATTTTCTAATTTAAAAAAAAAGAAAATTGTGTTTCAAAATGGATATGGCAGTACTTAGAGAAGAATTTCGAGTTCTATATTAAATGTTCATCTATAACTTTTAAATGATATCTAAAGCAATTTTAAAGTCAGCACTGCATGTTGGCTTCTTGACTGACCTAAGGACCCATTTCGTTTTTGTCCATTTTTATTGTACACCTTTCAGGTCCCAAACACTTTACTAGGTTGGGATGATAGTGAAGAAATTGGACACAGTGGTCAGGAAACTTAAGCATCTATATTTAGCAGACCTATTTGAAAAAAACTTTCAGATTTTTAAAGTAGTATACAAATTATAAGTCACATCTTACTTGCATAAAATTCACTTGACCAGTTGGAAGACAAGTGGAAGACAGAAAATAAAGGTGTTCATGAGCAGCCATAACATATTCATAGCCCATTTTTATCTGTATGCTTTCTCTGAGTGATATTATTTTTGCCACTGTCTTCTATTTTTGCCTTTATGTTAATTTCTCCCATTGGAGCTATTTCTGGCCTCACCTGTGCTTCACACTGCTTAATGGATAGCTCTGTTCAGACAAATTCCAAATTGAGCTATTTTCCTCTCAAAAACTTTTTAAAATATTGACTAGAAATTGGGGGATTTTTCTAGCTCTCAGAGGGTTATCAAGACCAACTTCTTAGTCTCTGTCATCCATTCCTTAATCTCCATTCTTATTCCCAGTGCTTTATAGATTAGTTGCTGTTTTGTTTTGGTTTTGGTTTTTTTTAAGGCCTGAACTATATTTTCCTTGACTGTAATTCACCCCCTACCATAAAGGTCAGTTTACACAGTTTAGCTAGAGGATTCTCTATAATGTGAATGTAAGCATGTTACCTTTTACAAACAATTTCAGCAATTTGATAAGTGGTCTTAAAATACCTTTGTGATTCCTCACTGGCCTTAAAATACCTTTGTGATTCCTCATTACTTATTTAAAAAGGGCCAACTCCTCCTTGGTATAGGATACTGGGCTGTCATGGTTTTGTCCAGCCTGCCTTTCTAAACTTGCCTCCCTGCAGGCACTCTGCTCCAGACTCTACTATGCTTTCTCTTATAGAACTTTACATGTGCTCTCTCATCCTCCTCCACCAATTCTGCTCACCTTAATCTCTAACCTCCAACCTGCTGGACTCCTGTTTATTCTCTTAGCATAAATATCACCTCTTCCAGAAAAACATTTTGACTTCTAATAGAGTGCGGCTTCTTTTACTGTTTCACTTATCAAATTGCTGAGATTTTGTTTACATCTGTCTTCATTAGGCTTTGAGCTTCTGGAGGGTAGATACTATACTTTTTTCATCTTTGTATCTCCAGTGTAATGCCAAAGAGTTTCACCCATTAAAAACATGTTCCTAGTAAAGAATTTTTTATTCTTTTTTTTTTTTTGAGTTGGAGTCTCTGTTACCCAGGCTGCAGTGCAGTGGCATGCTCATGGCCACCGCAGCCTCGACCTGC